AAGAATTAATTCTGAAAAATAATTTACAGGGTGTTAATAATCTATTCTATTGTAGCATGCGAATTTAAATATCTTTAAATATCTCAAAAACGAAAGGTTTTAAACATATTTAATCCTTACAATAAATGCCTTTTTTTGGACCCAAGAATCCAAAAATAAAATACCGGGTGTTCCATAAGAAAAAATATAACTTTGGTATGGATCTTAGTTTTGAAACACCCTGTATATTTCAAAATAATTTTAAATTGTGCATATTGTCTTCCCACATATACCCATAAAATATTTTCTTTCTAGATGTTTCCGTTTTCGTATAATCAACCGAGGCGAATGAGGTGCGCCACCCTGTGTAACTGCAAAGATAAATAACCGTCTATTAAAGCTGGAAAGTTTTTCATATTTCTCGTACATTAAATAGTATATTTACTAATAACTATAAATTTTCGTAATCTACAATAGAAAGGAGAAAGGAATAGTTTATTTCGACATAAGTTTATTTTTTATTTTTAATATGTATCATTTTTGAAAATTAAAATTTCAAACGAATTTATATGCATTCATTGTACGTCGTTCCGTGACTCCAATCAGATTGAAGTATGACCAAAAAGACGGGCGACAGAAAATAGATGCATGTAAACCGATACTTTTACATTAGTAATTCTTGCAGCTTATCAAGAAAATGTATATTTAACAGGTAACTATATTCATAACCATTTCTGTATGCTGTATAATCAAATAGTATTGTACTTTGTATTTATATAATAATAGAGGGTGAGTGTTAAATAAGTGCAAATATTTTTAGGGGTAGTATATTTCAACCCAAGAAAAAAAATTGGAAATTTTTAATTTTTAGTTAAAAAACATAATCTCTTGATAATATAGCAACATAGTTAGTAGAATAAATTTACAAGAAAAAAAAAAACAGAAAACATCCAATGGTTCTCAAAATTTAAGCAAAAAATATAAAATGACTCGGTTATTTTGGATTTATTTCAAAAACGATGATCAGAAAATATGTTTCTTTTATTGAGATATATCTCGAGATATACCCGAGCTCTGAAAATATTTGCACTTATTTAAGACTAATCCTGTATAATAGATAATACATAGTGCATTTTATCAGCATTTTATAATTTTTGAGAAATTCAACAATTTTATATAAAACTAAATTTGTTATAAACTTAATGTAACATTTAAAACTAATTAATGTTTCTACTAATTATTACTGAATTTATACACAATGAAAATAATTATAAAATAATTACATAACTAGTTTCTTGGAAATCAAGAACATATATTATCTAAATTAAGTGGCGGTTTAAAAAATATCGACTAATTTATAATAATTATTATTATAGATTTTTTATTTACACTATTCAATGGATTCAATTTTGAGAATCTTGCTAATTACAGAATAGTTATATACTATATGCTTTGAATTAATCTCAAGTGTACTACTATAGTTAAATAAACACTTATTGAAGTAGTAGTAAAAAGTATACAGGGTCCTGCAATTGCGATAGTGGGTCGGGCATCTGTAGCTCCTAGAATAACAAACTTAAGAATTTTGTTTAAGTGTAGATCTAAAGTGTGTTCTAGGATGTATTCCAGGAAAATATTTTAACTTCTATAGGGTGGCTCAAAAAAGTGTGAGTGGATCGAGATGATTTTTTTTAAATGAACACCCTGTATATTATTGCATTTTTGGTTTCTTTTCAGATCACTTTACATAATCCTAAGATATGAGTAAATATATTTCGATAGTTTCAGAGATATTAATAAATAAATAAAAAATATACAGGGTGGTCCGAATTGTATTCCGGAAACTTCGGCAGCATATTCTGCAGATAAAAATAAGTAAAAAAGTTCTAGTATCAATGAATGAGAGTTAAGTATAAATGTATGTCCTATAATGCTTAGTTTCGGAGATACAGGGTGTAGAAATTTCATTTTTATTTCATTTTTTTCCAAATAATTTCTGCAGTAACGTCAATATTTGGATGAAAATTGGTGTCTGGAAGTTTTTTGACATGAGAAATTTGATTTTGATGTCAATATAACTCCTACTAGTAGAGGGCGCCACCTACATATATTTTTAATGTTTTGAAGAGTTATAACTTTTTGTCCGTACCTGTATAAAACTACTGTGTAAAAAAATATACATTTACGACGTTTTTTACGTAAAAAATGTTTCTTGGTACAAATCGCTACGATTATTGGTTTTCGAGATATTTGGAATAGAATTTATCAATATACTCTGTTTTTTTTTCTCAGGTAAGATTTCGACAGACGATGACAGAAGAAAAGCAGATGATGCCCCATACCAATCTATTTATTTTACTAAAAAAAGTTTCTAATAATTTTTAAGTTAACTATGGATGGGTTTAAATATAAATCCGTCATACGTCGTCTCTTGTTGTTTCTAACCAGTTTTATTGGTTTATTTCAAAAATGACAGATCGTATTTCAATTTTATTGGTTTGACGGAACGATGAACGACAAACGGACGCTGATGCGTATGAACTCGCCTTTAGATTTTTGACGCTTGTCAAAGTCTTGCCAAATTATAGGTTATAATTTTGTGTCAACTTTTGTCAAATACCTTGCGTTTTGGAAGATAATGCATTTTGATTCGTGTTATTACGTGTGTTTTGTGTCTTTTGAAGTCAAGTGGAGGAAAAATCGAGTGAAAATTAACTGTAGACCCAGAGCACAGTTTATGGTTAATACTCGCTGCCCGGGCAGAAAGCCTTATACACCAATAAAGTTACCATCAATAAAGTTTGTATACCATTTCGTCGTAGATAAATGCATCTCGTATATGGTAGAAGGATCATACTAAACACATACTAAAAACTGAGTAGCTGTAAAATATCGACATCACACAATAGGTAAATAATGGATTTTAGTACTGCAGAAAAATAATGTCAAAAGGTACTGGTTTAAAAAAATTAAGATTAAAGTTAATTAATCAACCTTTAAGGTATTAATTTGGTAAGTGTTATTATTAATGAAATAGTTTGTTTTATTTATGTTGTTTTATTTATTCCTGTGGAATATTACAAATTTGTATTTGTACATAAGTTATATTGATAAATATAATCATAAATGCGGGAAGTTTCATGAAGCTTGGAAATAAGAAATAAATAGTTCTTTTTTATATTTTTTGGTATATTGTGTCTTGTTCTTTGTTTTGTATTAACACACCGTTTTTTGTTAAATAAAATAACTCGATTATATTTTTTCAGTTTTATACAGATTTTTTCACAATATTTTGAAGTAATCACTTGTCAGTCAAATTTTAAATATAATTTCCTGGTATGCGTTCCAGTTGTACCAACTCATTTCTTTGTAAAATGAAATAAACTACTTTGATATTAAAATGACAGACACATCTATCACTGTCAAGGATCTTGTCGTTGGACAGACTATACCTGTTATCATTGACATACATTAAACATGTTGACTAAATAGTTATTAGACTGAGATTATAAATTTGAAAGCTTTTATGTCATAAGTTCAACAGAAACTGTTTTATCAACATGTTTTTGCAGAAAAATTTATGATTAATTAAAGAAAAAAATTTCTCAAATTTATTATTTCAGTCAAATAACTATATATCTACTCGACGTGTTTATTTTCTGTCAATTATGTCATGTATTGACTACTTCCATTCTAAATATCTTGAGAACGATTACTCGTAGCGATTTTTACAAAGAGATATTTATTACGTCAAAAGTCACAGAGATGTGCTTCAAACACACGCTTCAAAACAGTTAAAACACATGTAGGTGGCGCCCTCTACCAGTAGGAGTCATATTGACATCAAAATCAAATTTCGCATGTCAAAAAATTCCTAGACACCAACTTTCATGGAAATATTGACGTTACTTCAGATATTATTTAGAAAAAATCGAAATAAAAATGAAACTTCTACACCCTGTATCTCTAAAACGAAGCATTTTAGGACATACATTTATACCCACCTTTTTGCTTATTTTTATCTGCAGAATATGCTGCCGAAGTTTCCGGAATACAGTTCGGACCACCCTGTATATGTATTTTTCAGTCTTTAAAAAAAATATTAAAAATACAAGAACTGTCCTGAAATCGAAACTATATTAGATATTTACTTTAGATGGTCTGTACTTACTTTGCTATAAATATGGTAATCGTATATCATACAGGATGTTCAAAATTTTATGCCAGATTTTCTAAAATATAAAATAATTTTTCTTCGTTTTTTTTTTAATGGAACACCCTGTATATTATATTTTCAATAGATGGAGAATTAAAAAATGAACATTTTTTGTATGTAGAGTATTTCAAAAATTTTAACCGTTTCGCAGATATTCGCGGTTATATATTTCATATGGCATTTTCCATAGTAAATTTTTATCAAAGCCACCTAATGATTTTTCGTATTTTTTCGTATTTTACCATTGAGAGAGCCATATTTATGAAATATTACTGCGTGTATCTGCATGCGAAATCATTAAAATTTTTGAAATACTTTAAACACAAAAATGTTGATTTTTTAATTCTCCGTCTAATAAAAAAAAAAATATATACAGGGTGCCAGGGTGATAAAAAAACAAATGCGTGGAATCTTGAACATCCTGTATGATTTTTAAGATTACGATATTTATAGCAAAGTTATAAGTATAGACCATCTAAAGTAAATACCCTAATATTGCTTTTCAAAGCATTTCAGCACAGTTCTTTTGTAATATTTTTTTAATGAAGGTTGAAAAATATAATTTTTTTATTTATTTATTAATATCACTGAAATCGCGATCCACTCACACTTTTTTGAGCCACCCTATAGAAGTTAAGATATTTTCCTGAAATACATATTTGTAAATACGTTAGATTTACACTTAAACAAAATTCCCAAGTTTTCTTATTCTAGGAGCTATAGATGCCCGACGCACTATTGCCGAACCCTGTATATATATATATATATATATATATATATATATATATATATATATATATATATATATTCTTCTTATTATAATTAGGTACTAGAACTTAATAAAAGAATACTCATAATTTACAACAGGTAACTGAAAAAATATATTTACATAATATATCCTTAGTAACAATATATACAAATTAAAAAATTTACAGAGTAACATATTTAAATTTTAAAATATCTTCAAATCTCTCTACGAAACTTAACGATTGAAGAGGCACAGCTAAAATCACACAGAATATAGTTCATACGTCTTATGGGGTCCATCTTTCCATAGATATTATAAATCATTGCAGATATTATTTTATTGTACTATTGTTTAAATTTTGTTTTTGAGAAAATGTTGGACCCGTTACTGACAGGTTTGGACCCAGACTAATGAACGATAAAATATATATTTTCTCTATATATCTCTTTAATAATTGACTATATAACAAATGGTAATTTATGTAAATTAAAATTTAATAAATTATTTATAATAAATAGGTATATCTATATATCTAAATTAAATAAATTTATTTATATATAAATATCTAGAATTTTAACAGTTAAGGCAGACATTCAATAGTTATTACATTTTTTTAAACGCATTAAACTTTTTTGCAGGGATAGATTATTTCTTAATAAATATTTTTTGAATATTTATTTACTTTTTATCATTTAATCTTAATCTTTATTGAAAAGCAAATTTTGAGCCTTATTAAACTTTTTCTAACATCGGCAAGTTGAGACATTCTGGTATTTCCACCTCTTCTAGACGAATATCTGAAGGGTTGTAGCCGAACGTCACTGGCAAATTATATTTTACATCCATAAGTAAAGTCTAAAAAAACAAGAAAAATAATAAAAAATTAATTACTATCTGCCAAACTTCAAAAATAAAGACTCTACAAGACCAACTTAATAGGTGGTATAATAGAATTGCGTAAACAAATTATGACGTCATTAGAGCAGGCGTCAATTTCAGAATAATTTCGTTGAACACATGCTTCAATTTCAAAATGCATTTACCGATGACGTCAAATTTAAGAAGGCTTTCATCGATGATGTCAAGCGTAAGTACGCCGCGCATCACGACTGTCGTAAATTCTTCGAAGCTTTAATAGAAGTATACGGAAGGTAAGCTGCCCAATCAAGGCACAAAATGGTGAACTTCTAAAAGAGGAAGGGCAAATCAGAAACCGTTGGAAAGAGCATTACAGTCATATTCTTAATCAAGAAAACAACCCCAATATAGAAGCACTAAACACAATACCTCAGTATAACAGCCTTGATGTATTAGATATCCCAATAACAGAACGGGAAATAAAGGCCTCTATAAAACAGCTTAAAAAGAACAAATCAGTTGGCTATGACGCGATTTCGGCGGAAATCTATAAGCGTGCAAGTAAAGAACTTATTCTTCGATATCGGACCTCAGGACTTTTGCAACGCGAATATAGTGAATATATTTAAGAACAAAGGAAGTGAATCAGACTGCGGAAACTACTGGGGAATTTCACTACTAGCTATGGGAGGAAAAATTATGCCAAACCGCCTGCACCCACATATAGAAAAAATACTCCCAGAATCGCAAATGGGTTTTCACGCGAACCGCAGCACTGTCGATTCCATATTCTCCGTCCGCCAACTATAGGAAAAAGTAAAATAGTAGCAGTGTAAACTTTATATTGCATTCATCGACCTAACAAAACCCTTCGACTCTATAAACAGAGATGCACTTTGGGCAATTATGAAAAAGTTCGGAGTACCCAACAAATTTCTTATATAGTGTGTAAAAGTCTCCATAACAACAAGTCAAGAGTGTCACATCATGGATCACTGAGCGATCTCTTCCTAACAAATACAGGAGGCAGGGATGTGTCTTAGCGCCTCTTCTATTCAACATATTCATGGCAGCGCTCTCCATTATAGTGGAGAGCAAACTGCAGGAAAGAGAATTAGGCATTAGATAGGGATACGACGATAACATAAAAAGACACAGGGCAAAAACAGGTACAAAATTCATCACAGAACTTCAATACGCTGATGACTGCGCTCTAGTTGCAAGAACGGGCCTTAAGCTGAACATCGATAAAACATGTGCACTCCCCCGGAAGATCACAGCAATGCCATAAAAATCGGAGAAGTACTATCGGAATATGTAGCGGTAATGTGTGTATGTAATTCAATTACCTCGGCAGTTTGATTTCGGAAAAGGCCAATATCGAATCAGCACAGGATTAGCAGCGCCTCAAGAGCGTTCTGGAAATTAAAAGAAAGGGTTTTCTACTATCATGACTTGAGCACAAAAACGAAAGTCGCAGTGTCCCGAGCAATAATAATCCCCATTATGGAAGCGAAACCTGGGTACCGTACCGCCGACACATGAACGCATTAAACAAATTGCAACAGAGACACCTTAGACAACTCTTAAGAATCAAATGGTTCCACCATGTCTTAAACGCATCGATCCTTGAAAAAGCTAGATGCGAGAGCGTTGAAGTCATGATTACAAAATCCCGCTTAAGATGGGCTGGTCACGTATGCAGAATGCAAGAAAACCGCTTACAAAAATCTCTGCTTTATGGTGAGCTTGTAGACGGTAAGAGGAAACCGGGTGGCCAACTCAAAAGGTATAAAGATATTTTCCACGAAAAATTAAACGGGGATAAGCATACAGAATAAGTGGGGAGAAGCAGCGCACAATATAACGCAATGGAGAAGAATTGTGAATTCAGTTAACAGCGACAACCAAAAAGTAAAGAGGCAACAAAGTAATGAGATTTTTGAATGTTCGGAGTGCGAAAGAAAGATAACATCACGTATCGGGATTTTCAGTCCCAGAAAAGCTCATGAAAGAAAACGCCTTGCGTAACCATCTTCTGATGCGTGTCAAATACTCGTCAGCGAGTAATGGCGGTATGTATGTCAGGCCTTATATCAAGTTGTATCAAGCTCTGTCGGGAAGTTTGATCATTCCAGAGTTTTATTGTTACCGATCGTGGAAGGAAGAAAATCATCTTTAAAACTTATTTCTGGATTAATTTACCTGTTGTTCCTGGCTTTGATGCCTACTCTGTAACTTTTCTTGAACTTTTCGTATGAACGAGAACTGAATTCGATCGTATTCATCCATGGGCGTGTAAAGGTTTAGAATTTTGCATATCTGTAAAGGAGTTAAAGCATGGCACATTTCGCACAGTTTTTCGACGTCTTCATCAGTATCGGTTTTTCTAGCCTGTAGTAGTTGCGCAGCTTGTATGATTGGTTGTAGAGTAGCTTGTATAGGTGCATCCTAAAATGTGATGAAAATATTAGTATAATTATATTTTTGTTTACGTAATAATGCTTTTCATTACAAAACTAACAACATTGTATCACACGACATAAAAAACGACCGTGTTGTGCCATACGATAAAAAACGGCTTCAAAGACGGCTGGGGAATGAAGATAGATTATTATTTTGGCGAGGTCAAGCCCTAGACGTCATTTGTTTGTACCGTACTTTCCTTCATTTTTTTATTGGCGCTTACTGCCAGCTGGCCTTAGAAGGTTGTAATTATTTATTTTTTTTATATCGAGTAACAATTATTTTTAAATTGTGTAGTTTAAAATTCGAGAAAAAAACAATTTTTAGAAGTAAACGCTCTATCTTTAATCTTTCTTTAATTATTGTTGAGGATTATAGTTGGGGGTTGGAAACTTTGGTGTTACAACAACAAAATAAAACTTTAATCCATCACAATAGACCAAAACAAGTTATTTTTGCGTTGGCTGCGCGACCTAACCATGTTAACATCTTCAGCAGATGATTAAAACATTTTTAATCATTTAGTTAGCAAATTATATTAGGTTAGCAAAATGCGCGTCCAGTGCAAATATAAAGTGTTTTGGTGTATGGTGGTGAATTAGTGGTTTATTTTGCTTTCTATAATTACTGATAAGTTTCAAGTCAATTTTTAGTGGATATGTAGAGATTGTCCTCACTAAAATATCATCTATTGTCAATTGTCATTCCCCAGTCGTCTTTGACACCACTTTTTTTCGATCGTACGCTAGGGGCATAGCTTGAGAACTGGGAAACTCGGTGCAAGTTATTTTTGAGGGCCCATGAGTAAAAAACTAAATATAAATAAACGGGGCCCCTACAAACTCGCGGTATTATGTCTGGGTATATCTCTGGAACGCTCGCTAAAGTCACGCGACTCATGTGGAAGCGGTATTCTAATGACTAGTTGGTATTAAATAGATGGGAAAATTCGATCGGCGATATCCCGATCCAATATTACAGAAACCGTGAATGTATATGACTCATTATGACTCATTAGCAAAATTATGTTCATTAAGTTAATACCTCTAATCTAGATAATTATTTATTACTTGTTTTATTAAATTAAATTGCATTTCTTTTAATAAATAATTAATAAAAATTTATAATCTAATAATAATTTAATAATAAAATGTTTATCTATTATTAATTTAATAAAATTTTTATTATAAAGAAGATAAGTAAGGATTCCCCGGGACCCCAAGTTACTGGGCAAGTGCTTTGCACCGAACTGCCCTATGATAGCTACACAATTGTCATGCGCTATTTTATATCTAAAATATTTAAATTAATTTTTTTTAACAAAAAAGGACTTATGATCTTTATACTTACATATTTTTGGGATCAAACAAAAAAATATTAAGTATACTCACATCTAGATTTCGATCTCTGGTCCACATTTCCAAGTGCGACAGATTATGTCTAATTTGACAACCTTTTGACCAATGGCACAATTCTTTCCGGAGCAACAAATTATTTAAACTGGACGCACAAATAAAGTAGAATACTTGTTTAAAGATTGTTGAAATCAAATCGGGATCTATTCCATAGAATACCAAAATCTGAAAAAACATTGGATATAATCATTAAAATACTCGTTTTGCTAAAAAATAATATTGATCTAAAATTACTATTACTAGCAGACCTCGCAGTCGAACATTGTTCTTTTTAGAACCTCTGTTAAGTGGGGTACAAGATCGCTTAATCGCCAATGCAAAAAACTCATCCCAACCTTATTAGACTATTTTGAACGGGAAAGCGGTAGTAATGGCCCTTTATGTCCCTTAAGTGCTGTTAAGGAGATGAGTTTTATTGATGTAAATAATAACTGCTTATATATTTATAATTAATTTATTTTTTTTTAATATTTTTTAAAATATTTTGATTAAAAGAAAATTTTGTAAAAGCGGACAACTATGTGCCGTTCAAGCTTAATCACGTGACTAAAAGTTTAATTGGTATGAACTATATCATTTATCATAAATATACAGGAAAATGTTCTAAAAATATTATAAAGTGACTTTGAGTGTGTGCGTTATCTATGGACCATTCGTTTTTTTTATTTACTGCTGCACAGTAATAAAATTAATGCATTAGAAAATATTATTATTCAAATTCTTTTTTAATTTTTTGTTTCGAACATTATTTGAAATTGTTTTCTTTTGAACATCCCTGTATATTTATATTTAAAACTTGATAAATTGAGGTCAAATCAATTTCCAACAACTTTTCTCTTTGACTTTTTTAAATATTATGTCACCTATTTGATTTTAACATTAATACGTTTTACGAGATGTTTTCGAGTTTGTTATATTTGTTTTTTTTTCGTTTGTTAAAAGTTTATGAGATGTTTTCATTCAAAAATGTGCTGCATTCCATCATAAGCCTGTTCTCCTTTCTTACCTAAAGGATAAATAGGCCTTGTTCTATAGTTTTGTGGTGAAAAGTAAAGGTATAAAAGTTTATAAGGTTAAATTAACATTAAATAACATTTTTAAAAGTACCATGCGTTTAAACATACTTTTGCTGATGTAGGTAGAGAAACTAAATTTTTAGCATATTGCCACAATAATTAAACAATTATCATTGTAAATACCTTGTGGTGATTAGTTAGTTCTTGAATCAATGCTGTTGTGGGTTTTTGATTGGCGGCACTTCCCACCGGACTAGAAATACTTCCAACTCTACTTCTTAAACCGCTTGGTTTGCCACTCATGCCGGGTACCTCTTCGTGTTCTAGAATCGCTGGCACTATCAACGGTTGAATCTTTTCTTCAAAGTTTTTGATTAATGCTAAAAATACAATTTAATAGTAAGAAGCATTCATAGTAGAACTGTTTATGGCTATATATTACCTTGGTATATCCAAACGGCTGTGTCAGACAGTAGTTGTCTATATTCAGACAAATCAAAATTTTTTAGACTTTGCTCATTCTGGCTTGGAGTATTTTGTTTCTGGAATCTTTTTTCTCCACTATATTGTTTCATGCAATTCTTTAATCTAAAATAAAGGTATGATTTATCAATTTTTTTTATCGTACGGTTGGATAATACCTTTGAACATTAGCTAGCCACAAGGTGGTTGTTTCAAAATCATGATGTTTCTTTCTGATGATCTTTTTCACTGAACTAATAAACGTCTGTAACAGAGCTTTAACTTTTTCTTCGTCATTAATATAGTCAGTGTGTCTGACACACATAAAAGCAATGTAAGCAGGCAATCCTGGTAATAATGCTAGAGCTGTTCGTGGTTTTAGTTCTAAAAAAAGGATATTTATATATATTTTTTTATTAGGACTTCATTAGCAATATACCGTGCTGGCAACTCTTACTTTTGGGTCGGTATTTACATGTGTGGAAGTAAATCGCATAGCGATCTTATTCAGTCGGAGTGAGAGAAATGTGACGGTGTACTGTTGCTGCGTTGCCAAATTTCTGCGGTACGCATTTCCCTATCAAGTAAAGTAAAATCACGATCGCAAACCGTTTATTTTTAAAAGACATTTTTTTTCGGCAAGATAACCAGATAAAATCATTAGATATGTTTCTGAGCATCTGAAATTGAATTATAAGGATATCGTTAGGGTGTCCATTTTCTTTATCACGAGAAAACGTAATCGCGATAATTTAAAAACTCAAATTTTTAACACATAACACGCGATAACTCAAGAACAACTTTAAATATTGAAACTTTTTTTATATTTTGAAGTTCGGATCTTTTACAATATGTTTAAATAAGAAAAATTCGACAGGATTGTTTCTTTTTTCATTCAAAAATTAAAAAAAAACATCCATTTACTTTTAGTGCATAGCAATTTTCAGCAATAGTATAACTTTTTTATTTATAAAGATTTTCACAAACTGTCTGCGCAGAAAATTTAGCAGAAACATTAAGCAATTATAATATAATAACTAATACTTAACAATGTGCACAGTTTCTCGGTTTAATTCATAAGTTTGGCAACGTGTACTTACTGTTCTCTATTTGTTCAGTACATTATCAATGCATTGTACTCTTGTTACATACAGAAATTTCGACCCAAAACTAACCTTTGCTAGCCCTTAGTATAATATTATACCTATCACCAAATGCTTCATGATATTATTTTCTTCCCCGCTTCTGTATGAGAACATTCCCAAATATTCTCTATCTTTCTTTCTGATAGATGGTTCCATTCTTCCAGGAGGAGCAGGTGTTTGCTTCGTGTCAACTTCTTTGAGAACATCTTCGACATCTATAGGTGCATCCTTCAGTTTCTTGGTGAGTGCTTTGAGCTGCTTAGTCAGTTTCCTAACCTTTTCCACTAAAAGGTCATTTTTATCCAACAGAGCCAAATTGTCATTGGTCAGTCTGGTGATTTCTTGTTGCATAAACATTTCGTTTTGCGATTGCGGAGTACTGGTCAGATTAGCTGATAATATTCGTTGTTGGCGTTCGTTATCTTCGCGCAATTTTTCTATTTCCATTTTGTACTCTCGCTCGTGAGCCTTATATTTAGCTTTTTCGTCTTGCAGTTCTAGTTCCAGTTGTTTGTTGATAGTTTTTTGAGTTTCGTAAGCCAGAGCTAGTTCTCCATCTTCATTAATGTAAGCACCTGGAATTGTAATATCAATCCTTGGAAAATTATTAAGGCACAAAACTCAACCTAATATGATTTAAATTATATGATTAATATTTAATGTAATTAAACTTTTAAAAATATATTACTTAAGAAACTGAAAGCTTAAAGAATACATAAATGTATTGGAATGCAATATCGTAATGTTTAGTTAAACTATTATTAAATTAAATTCAGTGCTATATTTTCTACGTGATTTTGTTGGATATTTACTTCAATTAGTTAAAAATTTATAATGCTGGAATAAACACTAACTACACCACCATAATATATTAACTAAATTTACTTTCTTTAGCGTCCTACAGTAATCAGATGTATTTACCTTTAGCTACCTTTGTTAGTAAATAATAGTAAATCGAAATATTATCAGTGAGAAACTAATTGCAATAACATATTCCATATTATATTTTCTATTATACGTTTAAGTAATGCTTAGAATTATGCAACTTTTAACAAAAAATAGTGTAACAAGCTTATTTCAAACATAAACTTTCTTAATTCACAATATAATAAGTTATGAATCTCCGTTTATTATTTTTTATATTTCACCAGTGTTAATAAAATAATTTAATTAATGTTTATCTAAGTTTTTAAATCTTACTTTGAACTGAAATATTGGTTTTCTAAAAGAAATTTTTTTTATAGAATTACTCTTTTAAGTACTATATTAAGTACTTTTTCATTGTACTCTTTTAAGTCAAGATATGTGAAAAAGTGTTTGAAAATTCGAATTTGACAATATTGATAACCAACAATGACAAAAGTACCATCTACAAAAATGTCATTGTTGCTTTCTTATTGGAGTACCATAAAATATCTGAGACAATTTATAAGATACCTATTCTAAAAGTGTATAGTTTGATTAAACAGACACCTTAAATCGAATTCAACATAATTCGTTTGAAAAAATGTGGTATTTTGAGTTACTAAATATTATACTTATAGCACAGAGAATCTAAAAAAGGAGTGTTTGAAAGGTTGTCTAACTTGATCATAATGTTGTATATATCATAATATTGCAGTGTATCGAGCAGTAATAATCCCCACCATGTTATATGGAAGCGAAACCTGGGTGCCGTACCGCTGGAACACGAGCGCATTTAACAAGTTGCAACAGATACATCTTAGACAACTGTTAAGAATCAAATGGTACCACCATGTCTCAAACGTATCAGTCTTTGAAAAAGCAAGCTGCGAGAGCGCTGAAGTCATGATTACTAAATCTCTTAACATGGGCTGGCCACGTATGAAGAATGCAAGAAAACCGCCTACCGAAATCTCTTCTTTACGGTGAACTTGTCGAGGGTAAGAGGAAACCGGGTGGACAACTCAAAAGATACAAGGATGTTTGTCATGAAAACTTAAAGGGGATAAGTATGCAGCATCAGTGGGAGCAAGCAGCGCACAATAGAACGCAATGGAGGAAAATTGTAAATTCAGTTAATAACCAAACCAAACCAAAAAGTAAAGAGGCAACAAAGTAATGAGATTTTTAAATGTCCGAAGTGCGGAAGAGAGATAACATCATGTATCGGGCTTTTCAATCACAGAAAAGCTCATGACAGAAAACGCCTTGCGTAACCATCTTCTGATGCGTGTCAAATACTCGTCAGCGAGTAATGGTAGTGAGTGAGTGAATGTTGTATAGTTCAGTCAATAAACAGTTTAGGTTCAGTTAGGGCTTCAGAGTAGAGCTACCTATCACATGTCATGACAAGATAGACAAGAGACACAGAATAGACATAAGAGACAGGTTATTTAAATTTTCTTTGTTCTCTGCCATGTGTTTTGCCGTTGACTGAAAAAATAAGAAGATGCGCAACCTTATGGGCGTTTTCGTGGCACAAAAATGTGTCCGAGATATAGTTGGCATTACCGTCAGGGTGTTCAAGATTTAGTTTAGCTCTGCGCCGCGCCGCTGCGCGCTGGTCGTCGTTTACAGTGCAGCGGATAATGAATACTGTACCGTAGTTCTGCTTTCAGTTGACAGAGCGGGTGGTTGCCGGACACTGTGTTGCCAGAACTATGGATTAATCCGTTGATTTACGGATTTTGGGTACGGTACGTTAATACAACAGATTTTCTATCATTAAAATCTAAGAGTTACAATCGCATGACGGGCCCATAGTCCATAGCGGGCGATATAATTATAATAATAACGAAATATAAATAAACCGAATTTTAATCAAGATATTATAGAGTAGAGTAACTTTTTGTTTCATCTATTCTTTTACTTGAAATAAAAAATACTGAAGGATAGAAATATTTTCTTATATTTAGAATATTTCTTTTTTGTTGTTTATTCTATGTTTAACACGAATAAATTTTTAATACATAAACGCGGATTTTGCTACTAAAGATATTTTCGTCAAACGTATTACAGTATTACACATTTTAATCTGGCAACACTGTCGCTTTCTGTTTCACACCGTCTTCGATATGTTTTCGCTGGCCGAATTAAAAAAATGAGTGTTTTATGCGTTGGCCGCAGAACGAGTGGTGGCTCCACCGTACAGCACTTGAGACGAAAAGGGAAATCAAATCAGCCTTGTCACGAATTCGCTCATTAGGTTGCGTATGTTCTCAATTCTTTCAATCAGCGGTTTTGCCGTTTTGAGTAGCGTCCGCGTTTTAAGTAAAGTTCTTGTTAAGAAAATGTAAATTAATTCAGAAAAGGGTATCAAGTAAAGCAATATATGTTATATATTATCAAATTTAACTTAGCATTTAACTAAAAAATATACATACAATAGTTTAACTTTTGAAATATTCTTTTTATATATAAATTTTCTTTATTTTTATATCTTTTTCGGTTTTAATTTCGTTATATTTTCAAAAATAAAAAATAACAAGTTCCCCTTATTATTATTCCCACATTTATTCGTGTATATAGTAGTTCCCACATTTTTCGTGTCAAGAAGGCAAGGCTGTCATGTTTCCATTAGTCCTGGCTAAACGTGTTGCCTACTTTTAACTGTGGAAATTACATCTCTTTTATTTTATATTTCTTTATGACTAAGGGTTTAGTTTATGCATTTGGGGAGAACACTATTATTTGATGCAAGTATTCATTAATTATTGTATTATGTACGGAGAGTTTGATCAAACATTTTTTTTGTATTTAAATATTTGTGATTTTCAAGCAATATTAATATGTAATATGTAATAAATATTTTTAAAAAGTGCTCTTATTTGTGGCTAATTTAAGCTAGATAAATACTTTTGAAGCATTTGAAGCATAAATTTATCTAAAGCTTTTCTAAACCAGTTTTGTTAGATCTACTGATACAAAGCATATTAGGTTAGTTTTGTGCGTAAAATATATTGATTCTATTCTCACCCAATCGATTATTGGAGTTTACAATGGATTTCATGTTATCAGTTTGGTTGGCTAAGACACTCTTCAGCTGCACAACTTCTTCGCTTCTTCTATCCAGCTCTAGTTGCATCTGTTGTAGTTGCTCGTGCAATTTCGATAAGCCAGTTCCTTCATTAACGCTATTTTGAAGTTCTAAGAGTTGCGTTTTCAAATTGGCATTACATAACTCCAGTTCGGATATTCTTATGGCATCTTTGGCTGCATTTTCAGCTCTGTAAATGTAATAAGTATACGCAATTAATAGAGGACTAGATTAGATTAAGTGGGATTTGGAGCTCTAAATATTCATTAATTATTGTATTATGTACGGAGAGTTTGATCAACTATTATTTTTTGCCTTTTAAATATTTGTACAAGGGTCACAGGGACCACGAAAACAGTTGAAATGAGCAAACAAAGTTCACAGATGTCATTCGTAGATCCAGAACCCTTTTACGGCGTTGCAAAAATCACCAGGGCAGACCTAATAAGGTTGTAAAGGGCAGATCAAATTGCAAACCTGATAAGCAGATCTGCCAAAAAATGTCAAAACTGTAGCGGGTCTATTATTTAAAGCTGATAGGATTAACATCTTTGGATTGACTTAGGATAGCCTGGCAAATGTGCGGCTCTTTGTACTAGTGTGGTGATAAACCACTGTTAAATAACTATATGAATTCAATCTCCAAGTTATTACACTTTTTGAAAAGTATACGATTGGAGAATGTAATCTAGAAGTATGAAGAAGACATCGATGATAAAATTTACATTTGACTAATTTTTAATTGTTGACTTTCTTTATTCAATAGATGGAATTCTTTTATGGATTAGGCTTATTAATATATCCCAATACCTGTTAAAATTACGGACAAACTTGTAAGAATTCATAAGAAACAGTTTATAATAGTGGTAAGCAATATAACCAATTAATAACTTTTTTGTTTTCTGAAAACAGGAAACTGTATTTTTACCTTTCTATCCTTGGCGACAGATCTAATTCATCCAAACGAGCCTGAATACGCATTTTTTCCCTTTCTACTTCTGATAATTTATGTTGCAACTTTAACACTAATCCTATATCTACGTTGCTTTCCAATTCAGACTTAGCATTTGAATCACTGGTGGAAGTTGTGGGTGTTTGATTTTCATTAGTACCTAAAATTATTAAAAATCTACTTAATGTATCTTAACTTGTATCTACTTAATCTGTATGTAACTTAACAGTTTGCAATCTTTATTTTTTTATTTAAGCAATCAACTAAATTGTGTAGTTACTATCTACAGTAAATAGTATAAAACTCTACTTCGAGGTTTGTATTCTACTTGATTTACACCTACATCATTATTAAATGTTCATTATTACAATAAAGGTAAGCCAAAATAATTGTCACGGGATTATAATAGATGAGGCAAGTAAAAGTAAATAATGTAATAATTTGAAAGTCATTTTAGTAACGTCAACATTACATATATGCCTAGCATATATGGTTGTAAATAAAATGAAATAAAAATAATTCAACTATTAAAAAATAATTTTATATTGAGTAAAGAAAATACAGTAGTAGAATTTTATATTCCACACTCTCTTTATATGTTAGACATATTAAGGCATATAGTTCATATCAAATAAACTTTTAGTCACGTGATTAAGCTTGACAGGCACAGCGTTGCCCACTTTGACATATTTTCTTTTAATCGAAATGTTTTAGGAAACAAAAATAAATTAATTATAAATATATAAACAGTTATTATTTACATCAGCAAAACTACCGCTTTCCCGTTCAAACTTTTCTAATAAAGTTGCGATGAGTTTTTTACGACTATTAAGCTATCTTGTAAACTTCGCATTAAAAGAGGTTCTAAAAAAAGAACAATGTTCGACTGCAAGTTCTGCTAGTAAAAAAAATTAAGCTTAAAGTAACACAACACAAAATTATTTATATCATTTAAACCAAAAACTCGTAATACAAAACTAAAAGTGTCAAAACGAATGACAATACCAGGATATTTAAATAAATAAATGTGGCAACTTGGCATTTTTTACAGCAGAGCTACCACCTGAATCGCCAGCGGGAAATTTAAATTCCAGTTAGGTAGCCCGGCGCCAAATATGTCCATGGTTGAACAATGAATTTAAAAATCGCAGTCTCGATTACGTAACTAAAAGTTTAATTGTTATCGAATATATGTTATACCATTAGTTACTCACCATTCCAATCAAAATCTTCCACCCTTTCCCTATTCTTCCCTGAAGTCGATCTGACAGAACCATACCCATGATCCTCGGGAAGATCGCTAATATCAATTGTAGATATACCACTAATGTCACTGACGTTCCTCTTATGATTACTATGAACGTAATGACTAAGTTGCTTCTCTAATTGCTCGCAGTGTTGCTCCATCGAATGATATTCTTGCAATAATTTTTGATAGGCCTGTCTCTCTTGATCTGCTTCTGTTTGTATTTCGTTCTTTTCTTCCTCCATTCGTAGCTTAATATCTTCTTCTGCACCTTTTTCGTTGATTTTCAGCATTTCGATTATATTCTCGTATTCTTTTTTTAGTTTTTCCGTTTCTTCGGTCCAGTGCGATCTTTGGTTTTCTACTTCTTGTCGGTATTTTTCCTGTTCATTAATCAGATCGATTTTTTCGTCTTTTTCTATAGCTAAATCTTCTTGCAATTTCTCTATGACTTTGTTCTTTTCTATCAAAAGATTATTGAGGTTCTTCACTTCAATTTCCAATGCCTTAAATGTGGTTACTTTGCTCCTAAAATATAATTAATTAACTTAGTACTAAACGTATCTTATTTTACCTCTCACTAACTTCAACTCTTTAACATCATTTTTGTAAGTCAAAAGTTCGGTGTTTGTTTTTGTGAGATCATCAATTTTCTGTTGTAAACTGATAATTTTGTTTTCAAGTCCTTTATTAAGGGATTTCACGTGTTCAATTGATCTTGCTTCGATTCTCAACCGCTTGTACTGTTTTCTTGCTAAGAATCTTCTGATTGCCGCTTGGCACACGATAATCTTTCTTTCTCTGACTGCGTATCTCTTCCTAGCCAAATATCCCCGAATATATCTTTGTAAAACAATAGCCTGCAAAAATTATGCATTTCCATATTATTAAAATTCACCATTTATGACTTTATGTTATTTTTTTTTTAAGATAAGATTTGCATTGATCATCTCACCTTTGCATTATCCTTAATGATGCTAAAACGTCTTCTAGCCAAAAATCCTCTGGCGTAACATTGGATACCTAAAATACAATCACGTTTCTTGCGATATATCAGTCGTGTTATCCATCCTCTGACGTATCTCTGGATAGTGATAGCTGCCCTTTCCCTTCTTATCGCCTCAGCTTTTCTGCGAAAAGAATACATGTATATAAATAACAGCAAAAAAGAAAAGAAATTAATTAAGAAATGTTTAACTTGTAGGGTTGGCTAATATTACAAATGAAGGGTCAGGAGAAGAAAGCAGGTAAGTTAATTTCTCTCCAAACACGATTTAATGTTCAAAACGTTACAAAAACTGTACATGAACTTATAAAATAGGGTAATAGAGATTCGTAAGAACTTCGTAAAGGTATTTGTTTACTACCATTGTAGCGGAAAAACGTACGAACTCAGCAATGAGCTGCCTGGTTTTTCCTTTTTGTGCTTGGCTTGCTTGCTGTTTTTCTTTTATAGTACAACTTTGACGCTATACAGGGTGCTATAAATTCGAGGTACGAGCATTGGTATCTCGGAAACCGTAATAGATACGAAGATGGTTAAATTGGGGCAAAGTTGCTCCTTGGAATGTTCACCAAGATTCCATCAAAAAAGTTCTAAAAACTTCAAGGATTGCTGAGTTTTTTGGAAAACGGATTTTTTTGAAAATCAATTTTATTTTTTCCTGTCATTACTTTTTAGAAAATTAAAAAACTAATTACACATTCCCATAGCCACTTTATTAGGGCTATATGACAGTATTTTTAGATTTTCAAATTACCTGATAATTTGTGAGATACAGAGGCCAACTTAATTTTTTTAAACACGGACCTGCATTTTTTATTTCAAGTTTTGAAATAACTCGGTCTCCTGAGTAAAATGATATGCCATACTTTATACTTTTCTTTTGTTTTGGGTAGGTACCTTAACAATAACAAAACTATTTAATTATCATTTAAAATAATTTTAAGTCCGGGTCTCTGGGTTTTTAAATTATTTAATCTGATTATATTCATCGCAATAATATCGATCAGCTAATTAACATTGAATAAGGAAAATCGAGCCAATTGGAAGATTCAAATAAATAATATCCAGGTCAGCAATTTATAGATATTATTTTTAACTTTTCTTATTATGAATATGAAATTTCATTGTACGATCTAATAATATGTATAATATTAATCGTAGTTATTATAAATAAATCAACTTCTACAAACTAGTTTCTAATGCTCTACATATGTTAGAAAGGGTCACAACCCTACCTAATGCACAAATTTATTTTTCGTTCAATCTTATTTATAGCCCTTTGAACATATCTTCTTCTTATAGACGACAGGAACCTCTCTGGTCATTATATTGTTCTACCATTTCCAATCCATTTTTCGGGGAAACGATTTGATTGTTTATATTATATTATATTATATTTATATCATTTACTTTATATTACTTTCAAAACTTTAAATAATGCAGGTCAGTATTTAAAAAAATTAAGTTAACCTCTGTATCTCACAAATTATCAGCTAATTTGAAAATATAAAAATATTATCAGATAGCCCTAATAAAGTGGCTATGAGAATGTACAGTTAATTTTTTTATTTTCTAAAAAATAAAGACGAAAGAGTAAAATTGATTTTCAAAAAAATCCGTTTTTTCCAAAAAACTCAACAATCCTTGAAATTTTAAAACTTTTTTGGTGGTATCTTGGTGAACATCCCAAGGAGGGGCAACTTTGCCCCAAGTTAATCATCTTCGTATCTATATATTACGGTTTCCGAGATACCAATGCTCGTACCTTGAATTTGTAGCACCCTGTATATCTTCTAACTAGGTTGATTTTTTCCCAATTTTGCGGCTTTTAAAGATGCTTACGCTCAGTCTGAACCAAATACACCGATTATTTAAATATAGCAAAAAAATTGATGTGCTTTTTTCCCCCTGACCCTTCAAATATAACAAATTTGCATACTTGTAGTTCAACATTTACTAACCTTCTTGCTAAAATTCCTCTTCCATATTTCTGTATTAACAAAGCGGATTTTTTTAGTTTCTGATACTTTCTTTTGGCAATGAACATCCGGATTGTCTTTTGCATCATAATACAGCACTTTTTTAGTTTATCGGCTCTTAGTTTCTCCAAGTAAGCTACTTGCCCAGCCCTGAAGAAAATTTTTGTTTTTCCAAATTGGTACATGTCGGAATTTTTTATATGCAGCTTTAGAATATTTTCGCAGGTCTTTTCCATGCTGTTTTTGTTAATGTCCTTAAATCTGCATAGCACTCTGTATCTGTAGAAGAAGTCTAAATAGTTCCAACGGCTTGGATATCCTGAAATTTTTTTTATGACAATGGTATACCCATATTTTTATAAAATTGGTTTACTCACCAGCTGCTGATATCCTGATTGTTTCTAATACTCCGCACGCTCGCAGTTGTTGCACGGCTCTCTTGGGGTTAAATTCAAAACCTGTTTTACTATCATTAGGTTTGATACAACGGACGTAATGAGGTGTCGTAGCATTCAGTGTGGTCATTAAGGCGCTTAACGATTCTCTGAATTGAGAGCCGACGGATTTTTTATGCGATTTCTTCGATCCAGGTTCGATTTTAGCGGATACCACTTTGAGCTTCACGTTGGACACTTGGAGTTTTTGGGACTCGCTGCCGCTGAAGAGCCGATGAATAAATGGATTCTTGCTAGCCTTAATTACGCTTATTTGTTCTTCGATGACTGTGTCGCGATTTTTTTCCAGGAAACCGCTACTTTCATATTCCACTCTGTCGGCGAAATGATTGATGATGAAGCTGGATCGGCCGAATCGGCTTTTAGCAAAGTGGGAGTATTTCGCGCATTTTGAATAGAGTTTTTCGGTCCAGGAAGCGTCACTACCTTTGGGCATCTAAAAATAATATCCAATATTTGAAATAAAACTAGTATGTCCAACTTTCACTGTCTTTATTTTCTGATTTACACAACTGGGACGCTTTCCTTAAAGTAAGTATTGTAACATTAAAACTGTTTTTAAGTTTTGAAGTACTTTAAGGAGTATCTTAACAAAACAAGACTATAAACATCGAAAGAAGAAAAAATCTGCATTTATAGTATTTCTGAAGTCAATTGAAAGTTAAGTCCTTTTTCAAGATGACGCCGACAAACGCACCGACAAAAACAGTGCCGAAATTAAGAGTCCCAATTTATTTCAACTGATTTTAGAAAAACTATACCAGATAGCCTGTGAATGCAGTGAGTCGCATATTGGAGAGACAAAACATGGGAGACAAAGCATCCTCGTGACGAACATAAAAAACTATGTGCAGGTGAAACAATAAAGCAATAAAGTGGGTCTTAAAATGAATTTAGCAAAAACTAAAGTAATGTACAATGAACTAGTGGAACGAAAAGATATTCTAATAAATAACACAACACTGGAAATAGTAGAAGAATATATATATTGTTACGGATTCCGTGGGTCCACTATTTAAACTCACGATAAAATACTTAACGAATTTATTTGTTTCACTCTGTACACACAACTTATACTATTTACAACACAACTTATGCAACTACTATTACTCTAACGGTATTTCGCGGTATTATCAAACTTCAGACTATCTTCAGACTTGTCCAACTGTCAAAGCGCGGGCCTTATATACCCCCTGGCGATTGTTTCTAGATTTTTCTAAAGAATTCTATAATTTTCTTTTACTTTCTGGCGAATGCGTCAGGTTCCTCAATGCACGTTGCGATTATTTAGCAGTTATGCAACCAGTAATACACCTTGACATTGCCCCCTTCTCAAATTTGATCGTCCCGATCAAGGTTTCCTGTCTGGTATCTCTTCAATCGATCCAGATGAACTACTTTCATCTTACTTCTAGGGCTGCGTTGAATCCGGTACACAACATCATTTATCCTCTTGATGACTGTATAAGGACCTTCCCATGCTGGAGTTAACTTTGGGGACCTCCCTTTCTTGCGCTGTGGGTTATATAACCATACCATATCGTCCTGTTGAAATCCCGTAGAATTAGCTCTGAGGTCGTAACGAGCTTTCATCCGGTCACTGGCTAGCGTAATCTTACTTCTCACGGCCTTATGAATTCCCAATAACCTTTCCTTCAGTTCATCCGCGTAGTCCTCTACGTTCGTGGTGCTGTCGTCTGGTGATCCGAACACCAAGTCACAAGGCAACCGTAATTCTCGACCAAATAAAATCTTCGATGGTGAAAGTCCGGTGGTGTTGTGAACTGCACTTCTATATGCCATTAGGAATAGTGGTATATGCTGATCCCAATCTCTTTGATGTTCATCCACCATTTTCGAGAGATGTTCTTCAATGGTCTTATTGAATCTCTCGACCATCCCATCAGACTGCGGATGTAAAGCTGTTGTCCTAGTCTTGTGAATACCAAGCAGATCACACATCTTCTGGAACAGTCTTGACTCGAAGTTCCTTCCTTGGTCAGTGTGAAGCTCTAAAGGAATTCCAAATCTACTGAAGACATTATTGACTAATACTTCAGCTCAGTCGATGCTTCTTGGTTTGGAATGGCAAAAACTTCTGGCCATTTACTGAAATAATCCATCGCCACTAAAACGTACTTGTTGCCCTTGTGCGTTTCAGGGAATGGGCCTGCAATGTCAACAGCGATTCTTTCGAATGGCAGTCCAACGTTATATTGTTTCATTTTTCCCCTAGATCGAGTGCTTGGTCCTTGGCTGGCTGCACAAATTTTACATTGTCGACACCATTTCTTGACATCTTCGCAATAATCCACCCAGTAAAAGCGATCTCTCAGCTTGCTCAAGGTCTTGTTTACCCCAAGATGGGCTCCAGTTTTACCACCGTGAATTTCTTCCAATACCTGGGTAACTTTCTTCCTTGGTACCAGTAACTGAGTTGTTACTGTGCTGCCATCCGCACTTTCCCATGTGCGCTTTAACAATCCATTCTCAATAACCAGTGAATTCCACTGAGCCCAGAGAGCTTTGAAAACGAGCCCTCTGTCCGCAATATCCTGCCACGGTGGTCTCTCGCCGTTACCTTCCTTGAGCCGTAGTATTGCTCCGATGTCTGGATCTTCCATTTGATCTTTCCTCAATTGTGTCGTCGTCCACTGTTCATCGGTTCCAAGTTTAAAACTCCTTATCATGACAGTGCCTTCACGTTGTTCCGTTTTACAGCAGTGCTTACAATCGGTTTGACAGGGTCTTCTGGATAAACCGTCTGCGTTACCATGCATTTTTCCAGCACGATGTTGGATGGTAAAGTGATACTGTTGGAGCTTCTCGAGCCATCGTGCTATTTGACCTTCAGGTTGTTTCATCTCCATAAGCCACTTGAGAGCCGCATGATCTGTCCTAATTAAAAATTCTTGGCCGTACAGATATTTATGAAAATGATCAACTGCCTTCACAATTGCTAGCAGCTCCTTCCGGGTAACGCAGTAATTCCTTTCTGGTTTGGATAGAACTCGACTGTAATATTCTATCACTCGTTCTTCGCCATCTTGCACTTGTGATAGCACTGCACCTATGCCGATATTGCTGGCGTCGGTATCCAGGATATACCTCCCTTGTTGTTGCGGGTAGGCTAGAATAGGACTTGAACATAAAGCCGCCTTAAGTCTTCCAAAGGCTACATCACAATCGGTGTTCCATTCGTAGCCGACTTCATCACCTGTAAGTCTATGTAAGGGTGCAGCTATATTGGCAAATCCCTTGACAAATCTTCTGTAATAAGTGCATAAACCCAGGAAACTTCTAAGTTCATGTTTGTCGCGAGGTTTAGGCCAATCCTTGATTGCAGCGATTTTCTTCTGATCGGTGTAAATTCCGTTTGCCGAAACTACATGACCCAAGAATTCCACTTGTCGCTGGAATAAGCTACACTTCTTCGGGTTCAAGTACAGGTGCGAATTCCTTATGCGGCCGAAGACTTCTTCTAAATTTCGCAAATGCTCCTCAAAAGTTCTTCCCATAACCAATACATCGTCGAGGTAAACCAAGCACGTTTTCCAAGTTAATCCTCTTAACACCACCTCCATGAGACGTTCGAAAGTGGCTGGAGCATTGCATAATCCAAACGGCATGACCTTGAATTGGTATAGTCCGTTTCCTGTAGAAAAAGCCGTCTTTTCTTTGTCTTCCTCGTCCAGACCAACTTGCCAGTATCCACTCTTTAAGTCGAGAGTGGAGAACCAGCACGAACCTGCCAGTGTGGTTAACGTGTCGTCTATACGTGGCAGTGGGTAGCTGTCCTTCTTAGTGACGTCATTGAGCTTCCGATAGTCCACGCAGAATCGTGTACTACCATCTTTCTTCGTCACCAAAACAACAGGAGATGACCATGGACTCGATGATTCTTCGATTACTCCATCTTCTAACATCTTATCTACCATTGTCTCCATTTCTTGATGTTTGGAAAGGGGCACCCTTCTAGGACGTTGTCGAATCGGCTGAGCATGACCAGTATTAATCCGGTGCTTCACAAAATCCGTTCTTCCGCTGTTGTTCTTCTCAAAAATACTGCCATGCTTTAGCAGGAACTGCTTGGTCTTCTGTTTCTCCTCAGGTGTTAGGTGATCCCATGGCTGTTCTAGATGTTTTAGTGTTTCTTGGGATGCCTTTGGTGTAACAGCTGACGACACTTCATCACATCGGGTGACACTTCTTACAGGTTCGCAGATGGCTATCTTGTCACCTTTTTGGATCTTGACACAATTCGGGAAAACATTCGCAATTCTGATCGGTATATTCTTGTCGGTGTTCACCAATGATTTTCCTACTAAGTACCTATCTTGTTTCTTGTCGCCACTTTGTACCAGTCCAACACAGCACCCAGCGATTTTCTCCACTTTACCGAATATGATCTTCTCGGTATTACCAGGTATCACCACAGTTTCCGCTGATCTTACATCCATTTGATCATCCATTCTTCCTGATCCCTCGTCTGGAGATAACATAAACTCTTCATTTCCGATATTCAGGATATTTCTCTGGTGATCGAACGAAAATCCATGTTGACGAATCACATCCATGCCCAAGATGAAGTCATCTTCAATATCTGCCACTAAGACGCTATGCTGGAACTTCAAATTTCCTAACTTCAGTTCGACGATAGCCTCTCCCCGTACAAAGGCCATTTCCCCCGTAACTGTACGTAAACATACTCTTCTTCTCAGAGGCATCAGCTTCAACCCTTGCACTGAGTTGGCCCGTACCAACGATACCATAGCGCCAGTGTCCACTGTCATTCGGATTCTCCTACCATTGACCTTCCCGTCGATCACCAAACTGTCAGCGGTTCTTCCTTAACTCCTAATGGAAAAAATCCTGGGGGCTCTGTTCTCCCCAGTCAATACTTGCCCCTTAGTATTGACTGATTTTAGTTTTCCTGGTGCCTACGTTCTCTGGATGGTGAACGGGATCGCATTTGAACGCGGCAATCCCGTTTGATGTGGCCATTCCTGCCACATTTATAGCACCTTATGTCCTGTGATCTTCTATGGTTCTCTGTCTGGGTGTTGTTGCTACTCTTGTTCACTTTTAACTCACATAGTTTACTAAACATCTCCTCCAAACGTATGTGAGAACTTCCGGGCTGTTCCTCGACCGTTACCGATCTTATCTTCGGTCTAGGGATGGCGCTAAAAGCAGCTTCAATTTCTAGCGCCCTGACCAGTGCTTCGCTGCTGGTAGAAAATCGGGATATTTGCAGCGCCCTCTGCAATTCATTGTCCCTCAGTCCGCTGATAAAGCACTGAGCAGCCAGTTCTTCCCTAAATCCTTCCGGTGCTTCTGGATACGCTAGGTGTACCAGGCGACGTAAGTCTGTTTCAAATTCCTGCAGACTCTCTCCGGACCTCTGCATGCGTGTCTTGATCTGGGCCTGGTAAA